TCCTTCAGTGTGTTGGCACTTTTATAAAAGTAACTTACAAATCTTAATTGGACAAGGAGGCTTTCCTTCAAGGCTGATTCTAGGATCATTGATAGGATCTAGGGCACTGAAATTGATCTAGAATCACTGACAAAGTCAGCTAGCAACAAATGCTACCTCTATAGTACGCCTGAAAAAAAAAATTAAAACCAAAGGCAAAATAATGACAACAAAAACCCTGCTGTTCTGACAGTGGGCCGGGATGAAATTTTATCTAGATTCCTGGTAATTGTTTCAAGCCCACATCCCAGTCAAAAATACATTCTTCAGGATTTTTTTTTTTCATTTTCTACTCTCCTAATAATCTGTATGCTAATTAGATCAGTCCCGGAGAGCTTATTTTGATTCATACCTATCAAGACTAAATTAAGCATTATGCTAAAAAAAAAATACATTGATTTGGTACATGGCTAATTTGGTGATTATTTCTTAGTGAAAGTATTCAATGAAAAGCAGGTGCATGTAAATACTACTGGACAAACTGTCATTGGCTTGATAGTTACACAGGATTAGCAGTTTCTATCAGATATTTTATAAATGATTACCATGGTCATGGGGAGGGGGAGGTAGGAGAGGCAAAACAATCAAAATGTTGAAGCAAGGACAGTGTTGGCAGGATAAGAACGGAGAAGAAACTAAACGGCCAGAAGAAGTCATTGCCTAGCTCAAGAGGGCAGTTTAGTTGGGGCCAGAAAGATGATAATACTAAAATGCTGGACAGGTTAGGTGTTAAGAAGGAAAAGGATTAAGAATTAAATTGGAAAAAGAAGAAATTGAAGGACTTCTGAAAGAAATTGGATTATAGCCTTCCTCATCAATAACTATCTAGCAAAAGCACAATCTATTTTAAAAAAATCAGCAAAAACTTCACCAGCAGTAACCAAACAAGGGAAGAAGTACAACCTTGTGGTATAAACTTCAGAGACAACTAAGGAAAGAAATGTAAGATTTCAATACAGTTTCCAACCCTTTCTCTTATGCTTAGCAGTAGTGGGACTGGTGAATTGCCCAAACCCTGCAAATTCCCACAAATACCTACACATTTGGAAAGAAAAAGGAATATCTTTATCTTTCCTTTTTTTTTTTTTTCTTTGACTGGGAGAGACTGGAAATGTTTGCTGGAAAAAATGAGCAATACCTGGGAAATAAACAACTGACGAACTATGTTAAGTTCTACAGCTCCAAGCTGAATTGGTGGAACAATATTGAGAGTAGCTGCAGTGGGAAAAAGTTACACCCAAATTAGGTAAAAAGAATCTTGGCTGGTGACAATTAACAAAATCTCAAGAGTTAGTGGAGCCAAGTTCTTGCAACAAAGACTGTGTACATCTCCATGGAGCTCTTCCTCTCCGTCCCCTCCATGCGTAACATCCAAGCTTCAAACTGTAGCTCAGAAGGGAAGAAAAACATGTCTACGATGAGTTGGGAGAGAAATTTAGGATAATATTCCAACAAGTATGAGAATAAATAAAAGGTCAGGACAGTGCTACTCATGCTGAGAATGAGCAAAAAGAAAAGTATGCAAACTAATACAGGGAAAACTCACCAAAAGAGAGAGACAGAAATAAAAAGCATAACATAAAAGACAAAGAATCCAGTTTTGAACAAAACATAATCCAAGGATCAGAAGAAAATTTTCTGTGAATGCATTACACTCTAAAATAAATTAGCATAGGATCATAAGAAGAACATAAATTCAGTAAAATGAAAACTCGAAGATAAGATCACGAAACAAAATGAGATAAAAAGAGAGATTTCAAAGAAAAGGAAATAAATTAAGGACCAAAATAATACCAGCATAGGAGCATTAATAAAATAGAAATGGCAAGGAAAAGAATAGATATTAAAGAAAAAACATTAATAACAATATTATAATGTTATAATGATATTAATAATAATAAAAACAATAATGTTGTTTGAGATAAACACATGCCATGAAGAACAAAAAGACAAAAGCATAATAAGGCTAATTGGTCACCTTCAAGAAAAAAATGTGTCTTAAGAAACAATTAAGATAATTTCACTGAAAGAATGGTGTTTAGCAGTAGGAATTTCCGCTAATCAGTCAACAAAGCATATAAAACTTCTGAGCCAGTTTTCAAGTTGCCTTTCCAAATACATGTTTAGAAAAATCTCCTCCTCCCCCAACCAAAAGAATGAGAAGAATGTAGAGATGTGAAATAGCCATCTAGTCTTGTTATACTCATGCTTTTGCCTCCATGTATTCAAATCATACATGTACATCCTTTACATCTAACATTGTAGACCAAATAATGTGACCTCGAAACTGTATATGAGCACAACAGTCAAATATTAAAAATATCCATCAGTCCAATCTGCGCTGAGGCTGCATCCTCTAATATCTACAGTTACGAGCACTGTTTTCAGAGCTGTTCCTTCTTTGTTAACTTTCTTGTTATGCTCGGCTTGGCCCCATGCTTGCATAAGCTGACAGAGTATTTCTCTGATAGTTTTGTGGTCAGGCTGTCTGAATGTTTCAGTGCATCTTGTCATTAATCTATCTGTTTATCAAATAAGTATGGTGTATATGCTGTGTGCCAAATATGGATTAAGTACTGGTGAAATAAAGAGAACAGCCTGGCCTTGATGAGCTTATATATAGAATGGAGGTGTTAGAAAAAAATGAATGCATCCATAAATGAAAATATAATTATAAATGAAGGCAATAACAATGAAGGCAACAAAAATGGCAAAGAGTAGAGAATAACAGGGTACATGCATATCTGTTTAGCGGGGTGACTCTGAGATTGTGGCATTCAAGCTGAGACAAAAGCATAAGAAGGCATCAGCCTTGCAAAGATCATTCCAGGTAGAGGAACGGCAGAATTGTTTTGTTTTTGTTTATAAGGTCGCTTTAGTCGCAACTATCCATATCACTGTATACACGACAGCTTTGGGTCACAGACTGTCCCAAAACTACAGGGGGATCACCCTCCATGAATCAACACTTCCCTGCACCCACTTCATTAACTTCTCATTTTTCCCAATGCATTAAATTGTAAATCTTTTCCCTATTTTTTAATACTCACATTATCTAGTCCCCACATGCCACACGCCCTCCAACTATATATCACAGACTCATAAATTACCTGGGAAAGAATCAACTGCCCATGAAATGTATGCACAAATTTTCTTAAAAATGAAAAATAGGTGTCATCTCCAAGTTTTCTGGCAAGGAACCGGAGAAGAAAATAGCCCTAGAAGAAAGGAAAAAAAAGAAAAAGATGTCCATCATGAGTTGATCAGAAAAATTTTACACAGTCAATTCTAACTCATCCGCCAGTGCTTTATGCACATCTAGAACGTTCCATCTGATGTGTCTCAGGCTGCCCTTTATATTTGCAGTAGTAAGGCTGGACCTAGGAATTAAGGATCAACTACTTTGCTTTCAGTTCATCTGTTAATAACATCACCATCTTGTCTTTCCTTCGTTTACACGAAGCCTGGTTGTCCATCATGGACCAAAAGGGAAGAGGGGCCCAGCTTCTCCCTCCTTCAGCTATCAGGAAAGGCCTGAACAACTTAAAATACTTCATTCTTATTCCCATCTTCTAGTTGAACCCTGATAGTAATTTAAGATCCTGCTCCTCAAAGCTGACATGAAGCAGGAAGAAGAAATGTACAAGGCAGGAAATAGTTCGGCTTCCTTTCACTCATGCCTCATTTGGGGGATATGAAGTGCTTTAATTATTGGGCAATCAGATAATCTGCTCAGTCAACTGTCATTACAATGTTGATAATTTATTTTTATATGTGTAACCTAAAAAATGTTGTACCATAATAAATGGCTTCTGCCACTTAGATGTTCTTACCTTTAAATAATGAACTTGCATGAAGACCTTCTCCGGATTGAGCCCATGTTTGATGAGAGATGATCCTGAGTCACTTACGTGGCCAGTTTTCTCTTTATTGGGTCTAAAATGATGCAGTAAAACTTTCTTTAAGTATAGCACATTCTTAACTGATTAGACCATAATATCGTCTTAGTTCTTATTTTCAGAGTTGCTTAACAGTGTCTTTATTCTATTCAATAGTACCAGGTATAATTTAAAACTGTTTACATTATAAATTCATATACTGAACAAGGAGGGATTTATATTTGCGTTGGCAACCTGGAGTTGACTATTGGCATATTTTATATCATCTTATCCAAGATTAAAGCTTGCCAGACCCTCAAGGAATCTAACCTGCAATATGAATTATTTAAGAACCTATGTGCTTTTCTTTTGGTGGGAATGATGGGTTGGAAAATGAAATGGAAAATGTAGCTCTACTTGGAAGAGTAAAGAACATAGTTTTTTCAAAAACATTTGAAAGCCCCAATGTTAATCCACTTTTCTTGATTTGCATTTAGTAAATAAGGCTCCTTTAAGAAATGTTTGTACTCTGAAGCCATTTTAGAATTGCAAAAACAAAAAGTCATAGAAGCCCAAGTTTTTTGAACAGGCAATAACCACATACTTCAACCTCCTTACTTTATAAACAAGGGAAACTGAGGCACACAGGAATTAAGTCTGCATCTGAGGCCTCTGAAACCAATGTCTCATAGTCAATGTTTTCCATTATGCTCTATGGTTTTAAATATTTTTAAAATTCCTTTAATAAAATATAATCGTGTTACTGTGAAGCTTTAACAACTAGCTAAAATCAAAATATGTGACAAGGTATCTGCAGTATCCAGCTGTTCTAAAACCAGTCCCTTATTAGACCAACACTGAAGAGTGTATGTAGTTGTGAGTGGAAGGCAAGGGCCAACGAGAGGACTAGCATGTCAGAAAGGCTGGTGGTGGTGGTGATATTTAAAAGGTTGTTTGGTGCAATACAAGGGACATGGCCTTTGGAATCCAAGAGACCTAGTGTTGAATCTCAACCCTGCTTCTTAGACCTCTTACTTATCAGCAGGTTAGTTAAATTCTCTAATTTTCAATTTATTCACTGCAAAATGGGAATAATCCTATCTCCTCAGGTCCTATGGGAAATAATTGAAATAACATATGCAAAATCCCTACCAAGGACCAAGGATACAGAAATTATTCAATAAACAATAAAATATTCTAAAATTGTTAGCAATAAATATTGCTAAATTCAAGGATGGTCATCTGATAGTAGAGTATTTAGGCTGTTCTTTCACTTAATCCCCTGTGTCCACAGACACAACATGTAAGAATGTGGGACCTAAACGGAAGTGACCGAGGAGGATCCAGCTGCCAAATCAGTCCTTTTGCAGTGTGCTCTCGCTGCCAAGCAAAGAATAAGTCTCTGCCGAATATTCCAGTACATCATCCCATTAGACACAAGGCCAGAACCAGCAGATACCTAAAGGAAAGACGACGACCAGCCGCTAGAGCGAACTGCATAGTTGCAATTTTTCTATTTATCCCCAATTTACCTACATGACCATACTTGCAGGAATAACTAGTCCCTTTTAACGCCATTGAAAAGCATCAGCTTTATTCCTGTTCTCAAGTTTGTCCTGGGGTTAAGCGCTTTTATAAAGAAAACCACACTGGCTTTGATAGGGAAAGCCCTCCACCCACACAGCCTCACAAGGAGGAAGGCTTCTCAAAGTCAGCCTAACTTCAGACCAGTTTTCCCAGCCCCAAGAGAGACAGAGTTGCTGTAAGTAAGTTTCTTAAGCCCTGAGCTCTGAATTAGACTACTAGAAGGAGGGGAGTGGGGGACACAGAAGACCAATGTAAATCTTGGCACTGAAGCCTGCTTCCAGGCTCAAGTTCCCGATGACGCTTTTAGTTGGTGCTTTTTTCCTTTGCCTAAAAATGTCCTTCCAGAAAACATCCCTCTTTTATTCTTTTTCCACCCTCTCCAAATGAAGAAGTGTTCAGGAAAATTCTTTTATGCTGACAGCATTGAAGGCAAACATACAAGTCCCTAAGATATTCCTTTTAAAGTAGATGTGGTGCTGGAGGGAGCAGTTCCCAGGCAAGCTTTGCAAGAAATCAAAAGGGGTGGGTTTTATGAGGAAAAGACACTCCACAAGTGAAAAAGGGCTGACTTCCATTTCTGTGCTACGCCGGTTCTCATAATGCCACTTATCCCGTCTGTACAGAGACAATGCACAGAAAGAAAGCAGGAAACAAATGAACTCCCACTATATGTAAGAACAGATGACTCTCACAGGTGAGTAAAGAAGTCGCACCCCAAACGAGTACAGTGCCCCCCCCCCTTATCACATGGTTTTGCTTTCCGTGGTTTCAGTTACCTAGTATAGATCAAGGTCTGAAAATATTAAGTGGCGAATTCCAGAACAAACAATTTATAAGTTTTAAGCTGCATGCCATTCTGAGTACTGCCATGAAATCTCATGCCTTTCCACTCCATCCCATTGGGACGTGAATCATCCCTTTGTCCAGTGCATCCACACTGTTATATGCTTTTTGTCCTGTTATTCATTTGGTAGCCTTCTTAGTGATCAGATTGGCTGTCATGGTATCACAGTGCTTGTGTTCAAGTAACCCTTATTTTACTTCATAATGGCCCCAAAGCACAAGAGTAGTGACACTGACAATTTGGATATACCAGACAGAAGCCATAAAATGCTCCCTTTAAGTGAAAAGAATATATATATAGGAACAACCATACTACACATAGGGGTTTGGTACTATCCATGGTTTCAGGCATCCACTGGGGGTCTTGGAACATATCCTCCATGGATGGAGTGGGGAGAGACTACTGTACATGCAAATGTACAGTTCCATTTAGATGGAGTCAAAGAACAGGCAAAACAGAGCTATGGGGATAGAGATCAGAAGAATGTTTACCTTTGGGAGGGAGTATTGACAGATTGGGAAACAGAGGAAGGTTTCTGGGATGCTGAGAATGTTCCATATATCGATCTGAGTGGTGCTTTCATGAGGATAAAGAGTAAAAATCTATTGAACCATCTAGAAATGAGTACTTCAGTATATGTATATTTTAATAAAAAGTTAAGAAAAATAGATGTACATGAAACAGTATATATTTTGTGAGAGTAAAAGGGAATCAGTCTAGAAGAGCCTAACTAAGCCCTCTATCCCTGAGGACCAATGAAATATATATATTTTTTAAATAACAGTGTGAGAGACAGGAAGAACTGTGGTGAATACAATTGGCCCAGTCTACTCCCATTTTCATCCACGTTCTTCCTTGCCACTTATACAATCAAATCTGAAAAAGTTAAATGCTCACTTTCAAGTGTCCTTGCAGCAACGAATAGTCAGAAGACATGTCCCATGTCCTGGCCAATGAGAGAAAAGCAGAAGTCTGCTGTGGTTGAGGGTGGGGTTCTGGGAAAGCTTTATCTTTCCTTAAAAAGGGGGAAATATGATTGGTACTGCACCTCTTCCCCGCAAACATGGTGGATGGAGCTGCAGCAGCCACCTTGCAACTATGAAGCAGCAAATCAATGTGCTATTGAGACCAGAAAGGAATGAAAGGCAGCAAACAGTTTTTGATGGTATCATCCGCTGCTGACTGCCCAAGCCTCCCTGCCTTCAAACTTATTCTTGTATGAGAAAATTAACCCCTGTTTGTTTAAGTCAGCACTGCTTACTATTCTATTAATTGCAGCTACATTCGTACCTATTGAATGGAGAATTAAACTCATACTAACAGCTACCGTTTCCTGTAATCCCCCTGGGCCAGGTACCCTGCAAAACTCTTCTTGTGTATCACACCCTTCCACTCTCACAAAAACCCAACAGGTACTATGGAGCAGGTACTATGATTATGCCCATTTAAAGGTGGAGGAAAGTGAGGCATGCAGATAACTACAAAGCTAATTAGTGACAGTACTGAGGCTGGAACCTGGGTCTACAGAACATCAAAGTCCTTGCTGGGGCCTCCCCAAGATCCATGCCCCCACCTTGGTTGTTCTAAATACTAAGCGGAGAACCTTAGACATACTGCTTTCCCTCCCTGAAGCTCAGTTTCCTCACCTGCAGAGTGTGAGGAGACTCAAATAATATGAAAGCACTTTGTAAATCAAAAGTTTTAAGCATTTCTTAGGCATTATACGCCAGTGTTTATTTCCTTGGCTGGAATACATGGAATGCAAGAGATCAAGTTACAAAGGTCATTTGGGCTGAAATGCCCTTGGTTTCTGTTGTACCTGGCACCAAATATAACAACTCAGATTAGCATGACCTTCCCCTGCACACCTCCTTCATTTTCCACTGCACTCCCAGAAGCAATATGAACATTTAAAGAGCTGTCAGATGGCGGTGATACTTGATATACAGTGATTTGATTTTGAATCAAAGCTCTTGAAGAAAGGACTGATTCTGCAGGACTATCAACAAAGGGTAGGATTTAGGAAAATTCTTCTGAAAGGTGCTCAGGTATGTCAAGTTTGGTCTGAACACCTACTTCTCAGCCGCAGCCTAGATGGGCCATCTTCCAGAGTTATCCATCTCACACTCCTTGGCACAAGATAGGTTCATCTATAAACTCATTACTGTAGTGCTTGACCCTGGGACTAAGCATCCCAGAAATAAGACTGGAAGGGACTAATCAGCATTTTAACATTGCTGTCTGCATAACACTTGCAGCTGCCCCACAGATTTGATGGTCCAGGAGCAGGGCCTCGCTCACCCACAATAACAAAGGAAGTTAAAAATTACTTTTGTGTATAGATTGGCCCCACAGTACTGATCTGAGCCCCAAACGCACAAGTGAGATCTATAGGGGAAGCAGCATAACACACTGGTTAAGAGTTTGGGCCTGAATCTTGACTCTTAAGTGCCACATGATCTTGAGCGAGTCACACAACCCCATGAAGCCCAGTTCCTTTGTATGTAAAAAGGGGACCAGGATAGTGACCATAGCACTTCATCAGGCTGTTGTGGTATCTAAGAGTGCTTATCCAGAGCTCTTGTTGGCATTTAGTACATAATATAAATGTACTATTATTATCATAA